AGAACACCATCAAAAATAAGATGACAGTTAAAGAAGGACAAAAACACAGAGCATCTAGCCACCAATGGTCCACAGAAATTAGTATCTCATACTATTAATGTGAATAGAGTAAACAAAATGGGGAAGTATTTTCTGAAACTGAGAAACTATTTACTGAGTTATAAACACAAGGTAATAAGATCAAATCCAAATAACTAATTAGTGTCATTCAGAAATCATTCAGAAATCATCCAGTACTTTTGTCTGAAGATGGTAACAACGCTGTTACCTAAATGTCACACACTATTTATTTATTTGGTCTTATTACCTTGTGTTTATAATCTATAATCCAAATTGTGCCTTATCATATTTACTGAGTTATAAAATGATGAAAAACATATCTCATGATTCACAAGGTTATAAGACCAAATGCAAATAAATAAATAATGTGAGACATTTCGGTGACAGCATTGTTACCATCATCAGACAAAAGTACATTCATTCAGTACTTTGTCATTTTTACATCATTCAGTACTTTTGTCTAATGATGGTAACAACGCTGTTACCCAAACATCACACTATTTATTTATTTGGATTTGCCCATATAACCTTGTGTTTCTAATCTCTAATCCAAATAGTAACTTCATCTAATGATAATCATCTCTACATCAATAAGTTGCACTTCATCACAAGATGGAAGTTTCATTTGACCCAGCTTCTTTTTTAATGCTTCAGAAACACTGGGCAATATCAATCTATTTTTCAAAAACTTACATTTGAAAGAAAGTACAAAAGCAAAAAAAAAATTAAGTTTTCAATATTCATAAATATAAAAAATGGAACCTGAGAAAAAATACAAGAGTTGGCTAGTCTAAATTTAATACCTGGATAAACACAAGGTAATAAGACCAAATCCTAATAAATAAAGTGTGACATTTCGGTAACAGTGTTGTTACCATCTTCAGACAAAAGTACTGACAAATGACATTCAGTACTTTTGTCTAAAGATGGTAACAATGATGGTACCGAAACATCACACACTATTTATTTATTTGGATTTTGGTCATATTACCTTGTGTTTATAATCTATAATTCAAATTGTGCCATAATACCCGGATAGTTTAGAATATTATGGATTCAATTCTATCCATAGTTGGCACAAAACTAGAGATATTTTCAGCGATCATTAATACTGATAACTCCGCCTTTGCCGGTCCAAGCCCGGATGAAAAAAGGAGAAGGGGGAGCAGTAACAAGCTCACTAAAAAACCTGGGTTCAGCTGGCCCGGCTGATGGTACCTTGTAAGGGCTCCTAATCCAGGGATACAGGATGAGCAGCGTTTGTACTCCATGTTAGGAGCGGCTGCACATGGCGTCTGTCCCTCATGTCAGAGGCGGCTATTTATTTTAGAGCTAAGTCGGCCTGCCACTGAGTAGTGCTCCCAGTCTTAATGACAAAGGCAGACGCATTCTACTTCACCCAGTCATGATGGTTGTCATGATGGGGGTCGGTGGAAGGCTGGTTAAACCGTTTGGTTTTCGACCACTAGGACCCGGGTTCGATTCCCGCATTGGACACTTTTTTCTGTTTAAAAAAAAAAAAAAATGCTCCAATGGCCCCCGATTCTTGCAAAAGTCCAACCCCACCAGCGAGTGCAAGTAACCAAACGGGGCTCTGGCATTTGTAAGTGCAAAGTCAAACTGCTTTTCACATGTGTAGACATGTGGTGCGCTTACAGTAAAAAGCAGTCGCTAACTACCCACCATGATTATCATGGCCTGTACCACGTGTACTAGGAATAAGCAAAAAAAAAAAAAATGATGGTTGTCAACAGACACCATCAAAAGTCTCAAACTTTACAAGATTGACACCCTGATATGATTGAGTGGAGATAAGAAAGAAGAAGATAAATTGTGATATTATAATAAGTGTTTAAAATATGTATATAATAATGTGTATATAAAAATTGTATTTATTATTAAGTTGTTAACATGATAATCCAGTTGAAGGACTGACAAGTCCGAAAGCTTGAAAATAAAAAGATGCACAAGAAACTTAACCCTGGAAGCTTCATTTATTTTATAATATGATTAGCTTTGTGTGGCGTAAAATAACTTTGAATTTTGTAAAATACGTAACAAAGAACTTCATGAATGGATTGATAGAAAAGAGGATAATGTGTCATTTAACAATCTTTTATATGGTTTCTCAAATATAAGATATTTTGTATTCATTATTTTATAAAAAACGATGTAAAAAGGATCAAAAAATGAATATTCAATGTTTATTTAATATTAACATACATGCATCTTTATAATATTATTTTTAATTCTTTAGAATTAATTTGTTAATTCCTTCTTAGAATTAATTACAAACTTATTTATTTAAAGATGAAATATATATGGTGCTTTAAATAGTATTTTTAAAACCTTTTTTAAATGAAAAGTTTTTGCTTTTGTCTAGTACTTTTTACAAGAAAGGAATGACATTATTGGGCATTATATTCAAAATTCCCATGGCAGTTTGGGAATTTAATCGAAAACAACGAGTAATCGAACCATCTCAGTTAATTGGAAATGTCGTCACTGAAATTTCATAAAGAATGAATATGTGCTTAGTCATATATAGGGTATTTTATTTATATATAAAAACACAAATGTATACGTATGGAAAGGAGAAGAATCTATCCGTTAAACGAGAGTTTAATATAACGATTCGGCTTTTTTTAAGTGAAAGGACATTTAAATTTACCTTTGATTCCAGCCATTGTCAAACATAAAAAGCAAATAGACGATATATTTTTTCTTTGCTTGTATACAATGGGGAAACTATTTTTTTATCATCATCAAATGTGTATCATTGAGCAATATATTTTATTTTGCTTTTTTTCATTCTATATTAGAACATTAGTTTATTTTTTTTTTTACATGTGACAGGGAATTTCGAATATGTCTGAACTAAAATGATTCTTTGAAACCATAAAAATATTTTGCTTTAATAAGATATTATTTCAGCATTCATGGAAAACAATCCATACTTATTCATAACTGAAGTAGACATTTTACTAGGTTCTAGGTATTATTGAAAATTCATTCAAAGCTGCATTTAGAGAGTATATTAATTAAATTTCAATTCGGTCCATTTCGGTGAGATAAATAATAATTCTTACAGCTGAGATGCTAAAATAATTCATGTAGAATAAATAAAGTTTATAGGAAACAAATTTCAAATCAAAATAGTAAAACAATTAAAATTCCATATTATTTCTTTTCTTTAATGATACATTTTTGGGGATCAAATACAGCAAAACGAATAACATTATACAAATAATAATCAGTCTAACACAAACATATGGATCAGGAATTTGGTTTATATTGACCAAAAATATTTCTAAACAATCATTATATTCATTACAATATAGTTTTACAAATCCCAAGTACATGTGGTATAGGCCGTGATAATCATGGTGGGTAGTTAGCGATTGCTTTTGTTGTAAAGTGCACCCCTTTGAAAGCAGTTGAAATTTTGCACTTACAAGTGAACCAGAGCCCGTTCAGCTAAATAATTTAAACTTTTTAAGTTGGTAATTTTTAATAAGATATTTTTATCCATAAATTTACTCCCACCTCCTTTGTATTTTTTTACAAAACTATTTTAACTGCAATATAATGACGCTATGCGGCGCTGAGACATAACCCTGGAGCGTTAAACGCCAACTACCCCCCAAGAAGAGTAGAATGAGACATAACCCTGGAGCGTGTAACGCCAAGTACCCTGAAGAAGAGTATTTGCAGTGACCCGCATGTTCTATCGCCTTGTTGTTTGTTAGCCTTGAGGAGTTGATAATATCATCATTGGATGAAATAAAACAGTAAAACTCTAATCAACCAAACCTATGGTTTCCTACTTATTATTATTATTTTTTAATATCTTGTGAGAAAATATGAGTGTTTTACTAGTGAAATTATATATAAATGTAAATAGATTGAACTTATTAGCTATATATAGGTGTGTATGTGTGATGAATTTGCAATAAGTTGAGGGATGTTAAAATGGGAAGTCGTGGAACAACGAAAAGACACAAGAGACAGGATTTTCAAGGGAAGACCTTAAAATCATGGAAAGAGAGACAATGACAATTGACCTCTTGTCAATACATGTAAAGTGCACAGTCCACACTATTCATGTGATAATGAGAAATTTACAATGAGGATGATGTTATAACAAAAATAATTTTAAAAAGAGAGAGAGAAAGATTGAGATTGAGAAACTACTTTATTTCAATATTCATATAAGATTATATATGGTTAATTACAAAATTGAATAAATATGAATTAATATGATTATATAATGATAAATATATGAATAAATAGATATCTTCTTCTCTATATATATAAAAGTCAATTCCTGTCTGTCTGTCTGTTTCGCGATAAACTCAAAAACTACTGAACCAATTGGTTCCAAATTTTGCATGTCGCTTTTTATAAACCTGAGGAAAATTTTTGGCTACATTTTGCTTATTATTTTTGGCTATTTCTTTTTTTAATTTGAAGAACTATTTTTTTACGCGGACTAATCCGGAATGGAATGAATACCTAAATATGGCCATTTTTTTTAAAGCATCGGTGGCTTAGTGGTAGAATGCTCGCCTGTCACGCGGGCGGCCCGGGTTCGATTCCCGGCCGATGCATTTTTTTTTTTACAATTTTTAAAACTAATTTATAAAAAATATAATATAAATATATACTATTATATCAACTATATGAATTAAATCAAATACCTAAACACTAATCTCTCTATATATAAAAGTCAATTTATGTCTGTCTGTCTGTTTCGCGATAAACTCAAAAACTACTGAACCAATTGGTACCACATTTTGCATGTCGCTTTTTATAAACCCGAGGAAAATTTTTGGATACAATTTGCTTAGTATTTTTGGCTATTTCTTTTTTTCATTTGAAGAACTTTTTTTTTACGCGGAGTAATCCGGAATGGAATGAATACCCAAATATGGCCATTTTGTATACGCATCGGTGGCTCAGTGGTAGAATGCTCGCCTGCCACGCGGGCGGCCCGGGTTCGATTCCCGGCCGTTCATTTTTTTTTAACAATTTTTAAAACTCATTTATATTATATCTTATATATATATATATAAATGAATGTTTGTATGTTTGTTTGTTTGTTTGTTGGTTTGTATGTCCGGTATACAAATTCGCAGTAGTTCACTAATTCAAACCAAAATTTCCATACATAGGTAAAAAAAATACGAGGAAAACGATAGGCTATTTTAAATTATATATAAATTAAATATTAAAACTATATATTCAAATTATTCTACTTAGCTCACGAACAGCGCCCTCTATCAAGGTTATAAATACGTTTAAAATCGTAATCTTCTCAAAATTTTATTAATAATAGTTCGCTTAATAATTAGAATACTTGATCTAAATCGAAATATTTATAGACGCTCGCTCGATTTGAAGATTTATATCGTAACTAATCTGACTGTAAAGTTTGGAGCGGGACGTTTCACAAGAGTGACATCCACGGCGCCAATTTATAATTGTAACGAATAGTGTTTGAATAAAACATTTAATCGGGTAAACCCGGGCGTTGCCCAGGTCATTCGTCTAGTAAATAGATAAAAATAATAGATAAATATATATACAAGGTCTTCATTGGTGGTTCTCACCGCGGGAGAGACTCCGCCACCGGTGGACTGCGAGAGTTCTCTCCCACAGAGTGGGCAGGTCGAGGTTATGGCTGGCGTTCACAACTCAAGACCAAGATGGTACTTGTAGATGGTAGCCTTCGCTACACTAGTTAGCTTCATTGCCTCGGGATGGAGGCCGACGCCGAACAGCCAGGCCTGCAGATTCAGGGGCTCTTCGCAGGAGGCGAATACCTCTGGGAGCAGGGGTCGCACGGCTGGAAAATCCAATATCTGTGGCACAGTTGGCACGCCTCGAAGGCGCAGGGACCTCAGGATGGCGGGATGAAGAACCCTGTGGTCCAGCTCAAGGACACTTAAGGCGGCCTCCCACAGGCTCAGCAGTCTCCTCCTCCTAGGCGAGAGCCAAACGTCATAAGCCGGCGGTGACAGCCAGGTCCGGGTGCGGACCAGCCAAGAGTAGCCGTTGGCGGGGCGCGAAGAGAGAGAGAGGGCCAGGATAGTCCTGCCATATGGTTGCTGCTGACTTCAGCGCAAGGGGTTTGGCTGTCATAGAGACCTCGTCAAACCTGTCCAATCAAAACTGTCTCAAGGACCCCTGGGCTTATATTTAGTCCTCAGCAGGAAGACATCTTAACTCTATGGGGTTCCTGTCAGAAGGCGCCATGGATGTCAACAGGTTATCAACCACATTTTTCTTGGGTCCTCCTTCTCTCAAAATGTTCAACATGACCTGTCTTCAAATATCAGGACCAACTGAACTCCAGGCTTACCTGTTCTTTTAGAAAAAGGTTTGAAATTTGCTAGTATGTGTGTGGACTATTTTAACATTAATTGAAAATTTCTATTAGAATGCAGAGTTTATCCTCGATTCAAGACAAAGAGCAAAAGCAAAATTCATTCCTCTTTAATCCGCTTTATAATCATCATTATCAAACGCCTTCATGTACTAATTCGTTAGCTAATTATTGTTAGTAGTTGTACGTCTATTTTCTCTACATTTTATCAATCCACATGCCATGACGATATTTCCTGATGGATTGAATTAATTCGTTCACTGATCACTTGTTACATAAAGTTCTCTTTTATAAAAATATTTGACATTTAAAAACAAACATGTTACTCTTAAATATAAACGAATTAGGAAATAAAATGAAAAGTTGTATATTTAAAAATTTTTAAAATTTTGATCCAAGTTATATTTCTTCAGGTTTTAGTTATCATATGCAAGATTTGTTTTGTGGAACCAAAGAGAACGCGTGCCTTCCTTCTCTTTCAATTTTTATATTCGTTGCAGTTTAAATATTTTTAAAAGTAGAGTTAAAATATTCATAATTTTAAAAAATGAAACATCAAAATTTACAAATCTATCGGGAGCACAGGACATTTCTTTACACTCATGTACAATAGTTAAGGAAGTTGTACCTTTTAGTATATATATCGGGATTCAAATAACTCAGAAATATATTTGATACACAGTGACCTTCATTGAAGACACAAGAGAACTTCAATGTGAGAAGACGTCACTACAATGGTGTAGATAGCAAGCATCAAAGAGATGTTTTAGAGTCCTTTGTATCTAGGGACAATGAGAGCATAAATAGAAAAATGGAGTTACCACACCAATATGAAAATATAAATAAATAATCACAATCTAAAAATAATAATTATAAAAAAAAAAACGAATCTTTCAAATCTAATATGTAAATATTTGCAACATGTAAATTTCCATAATCCATTTTAAAAATGCTTTTTAGTTTTAACGTTGATTTTACTTAGTATAAATACTGCTCTCTTTCTCATTATCATTTTTAAAATTTCGTTTGTGCTAAGCAGACGTGGAAGATTTTACGATGTCTGGAAACGACAAGTTATGCATGCTAGATGAGAAGCAGATGATTCCGTTTAATCCTCACCAGGCGTCACTCGAGACTGGAGCCTATTCAGTCCCTGGGGGAGTGCTCCCATTGCCCCCAGCTGCTTCCCAGTTTCTCTCCCAGATACCGCCCATCAAATTCCAGGGGCCTTTCGTGGCCATCGACCACCTGATGGCGAGCATCCGAGACTGCCAGCTACCTGAACCCCATCCAAAACCTCTGGATAACGAAGGGACAGACGAAGCGACAGAGAAGTCTGAGGACAGTGATGTGGAGAGAGACGCTGTGAAATCTCCTGTTCCGGACATCATCTAGAGTATACATAAGCAGATGATATATAAACATGCAGTCCAATATGTAAATATAGAACTTATATGTAAATAATTGGTTTCAGGTATTGCATCTTTGCTATTTTCACATTCCTTTCTTGTAATTTTATCTACGCCTTATTAAATAAACGCATTCTGATTTTCACAATTTTTTTTTCCAGATTTTTAAAATTCATAATCATGTGTGTGAGAATAATAGCATCATATTGCTCTGTCTACTTATATTACCGCTCATCGCATTCCTAGCACAGCCAAACCTTCCCCAAGTCGCCCACACAAAATTTTGGTAAAAATTAGACGCTGATGTAACTTATTCAAATGACTTTCAATATACCCATATACCATGGTATATATATATACTACTCTGATAAAAAAAAAGGTTCGACACTTTGCTCATAAGTTAAAAAAAAACTTTATTATTCTACCAAATTCAAATTGTCCCCTTCAAAGTAGTCCCCGTTGGCCGCGACGCACTTCAGCCACCTTTTTTTCCAGTCGGCAAACACTTCTGGTAGTCTGTTTTCGGGATCGCCTTCATGGCCTTCTTCGATTCCACTTTGATCTCTTCTATGCTCTGAAATTTCCGACCCTTTAACTTTTTTTTGAGCTTTCCAAAAAGGAAGAAGTCGCAAGGGGCCAAATCGGGACTGTAGGGGGGTTGGAGGAACACAGAGATTGAGTGTTCCTGCAGGAACTTCGAGATTTTGAGGGCTGTGTGCGCCGGCGCGTTATCGTGGTGGAGGATCCACGACTTGCTCCTCCACAGCTCCGGCCGTTTCTGCTTGATCGCTTCCCTCAATCGCCTCAAAACTCCCAGGTAGGAGTCAGCAGTTATTGTAGAGCCTTTTTGTTGAAATTCATGATGAACGATGCCCTGATAGTCGAAGAACACCGTCAACATGACCTTGACTTTGCTGGGAGCCTTCCTCGCTTTCTTTGGTCTCGGCTCAATTTTGAAGCGCCACTCCGATGCCTGTTGGGTAGTTTCCGAATCAAAGCCGTAAATCCAAGTTTCGTCTCCAGTAATGACCCTCTTCAGCAATTCGGGGTCGTCGGTTGTCGCTTCGAGATTGAGACTGGCCGTTTCTTTCCGGGCGTTCTTTTGATCAAAATTCAAATCTTTGGGAACGAGAACGGCGTTGAGTCTTCTCACTCCCAAAATGTCCTTCATTATCGATTGAGTCGACCCGAATGATATCCCTGCTTTTTCGGCGACCTCCCTGACAGTTATTCGTCGGTCTTCACGCACCAGTTCCAACACCTTGTCCACTTTTCCAAGCGTGGTTGATGTGGACGGCCTCCCGGAACGCTCGTTGTCGGCGGTCTCTTCCCGACCCTCCTTGAAGCGCTTGTACCACTCGAAAACTCGTCTTCGGCTCATGACGGCATCCCGTAGGCTGTTTGCAACATCCAAAAATTTCGGCACCCTTGAATCCGTTTTTCACACAGAAATTGATGCAAATTCGTTGATCCTCCATTTCGGTGACTAACGAAATCGAAGCACGGGCAAAATGGCTTCATTTCGAACAGCCGCTGCTCGAGCTGTTGTGGTGCGTGATTTTTGAAAATTGGCAGGTCTCCAAGCCAAGGGCGACGCTTGCGTTGCCACAAACTGGGAGAAAATATATTGAGTTTTCAGGATTTTATGAGCAAAGTGTCGAAACTTTTTGATCAGAGTAGTAAAAGTCTATGTATGTGTGTATGTTTGTCGGCTATACACTTCCACAATACGTAACTAATACGACTGAAGTTTTAACAGTATATATAATAGAAAATATAGAAAAATTTATATTGAAAATTTCAGGCCTCTATCCCGAATATTCTTCGAGTTATTTGCAAATGGCGTTGCAAATTTGCCCTTTCGCTCGCAATCAGCGCCTCTAGCGGTGAATATGGGAGGTAATATCAGCTGACCTAATGTACAAGTAAAACGTGTTTTTACAGGACATAGAGAAAAATCCGGAAGAGATATTTATCGGATTTTTATCCAATAAAAATTGAATTGACAGGTTCTGGGCAAAAATAGATGTTTTTTAGCCAGAAAATGATGACAATATTGCTGTATCATGTTTGATTATCAGATACAAAATTATATCGGGAAAAATTCCAAAAAGCGGAGACCACGGATGAAGTCAGTTAATTTTTAGTATTCCGGAACAAAATTACAAGAGAAAAACATTCATTTGAGTAGAAGACACAAAGCCAGATCATCTCTCTATAA